TTTTACTCCGTCGTATAATTCTCGACTGATCCTAAATTTAACAGTATGAGAAGATTATAATGTTAAATGACCGCAAAAAATTCGTAACTCCTTCATACAGACTCTGTTTTCATCTATCTTTTTACTGTTGAGTTCCTACTAATGAGATCTTCAACTCTCATTTAGGTCGTGTAAGCCAAAAACCGCTCGAACTAAAATTAGAGTTTCGGGTCGTGCACTGCTAAGCCACATCTTAGAAAAATCATAACTTCCTAATACAAAGTCAGATTTTGGCATTCTTTTTATGGATGCTCTCAGGTTAACATATTCTATGACTTTCATTTAGATCACTAAGGCTAAAATTTGCTCTATCATATATTCACTATTTACGTCTCCCCGGTGTCGTGCCGGTTCCTTCGCGAAACTTCGACGGGTCATAACTTCTTTGTTATAACTCGGATTTCGGGGCTCTTTATATGTACAAAACCATTGAGACATATTCTGCAACTTGGTTAAGATTATTTATTCTAAATAATATTTTTTCGAAAATTTGTTTTCGACCCTATTATCTCTAAATTGACTAGCCCGGATCTACGAGCGTTACATAAACCAAGTAAAATCATATAATTTATCTTCCATAAATATCAAGTAATTCAGATAATAGGCACACATAACTTTTAATCATCTAGATATTGTATATATATATATATATATATATATATATATGTGTGTGTGTGTGTGTGTGTGTGTGTGTGTGTGTGTGTGTGTTTGAGCTGAAAGTAACTATGCACTCACTTGTTAAAGTGGATGACTGGAAAGTTGGGCAGCGCTTTGCTTTAGCACTTCGCTTTTCCCTTGATGTGACCTAGGTTTAGTTATCACTAAGTCTTAGTTTATTATTATTTATGACTAATTAATAGTCTAGATTTCTTAATAACCCCAATTTCTATTGATCTATAGCTAATAAGAGACAACCTGGTAGGATCATATCGAAGGTAGGGTCCATTTGGTATACAGAGTATACTGTTTTGAATTCCTACTTTAAACACCTCACTAAATTTAGCCTAGACAGCATTCCCACTAGTAGATCAATCAGTAATATTACGTTGGAATCACTGACAAATCTTATTTATAAATTCATAATATCAATTATGAATATAAATACAAATTACACTTAAAATAATATAGAGTGTAATGTAAATTACAGGGATTTCCTAGACTGAAGTCCGAAAATTGCACTGGCAGAGCTTCTACTTGATGGTAACTACATGCCAGAAACTTAGGGTCGCATGGCTTTGCCAGAATACTATGAACTAAGTTAAAATGGCTATAAGTCGAAAAATATTAAGAAAGGGCATGTACGGGTGTGAGAACGAAAACTTATATGAAGGCGAGTATATATATAGCTAAAAAAAGCAATGTGTGCACCGAACCCTGCCGAGCCATGCCACACACTATGTCTACGGTGGTGATGTGGCGTTCATCTATTAGTGACACGTGTCGCAATCTAGTGGGTTTTCATATGCATGATGTGTATCTTGTCAGTGTGTGCGACTAGGCACAAATCTTTATAAAATATAGAAAACTCACAACTTTTTCATATGAGCTCTGTTTTCGATGGGTTTCATATACACACATAGTTATCGACGAGATATACAACTTTCATTTAGACTCCATTGGCTAATTCTGAAATTATTTTAAAAGTTATATTTTTAAATAGGCTTACACTATTAAAGTTTGTTAAAAATTCATAACTCTCTTGTCTGAAGTCTATTTCCAACTGTCTTTATATAGACGACTTCTACTAATGATATCACTCTCATTTAGATTGTTTTACCTAACTATCAACCAATCAAAATTTTGATTTTTGTGTTAATATAGTTACACTGAAATATTAGAAGAATGATAACTCACTCTCATGAAGTCACATTTAGATGCTCTTTATATGCACACTCTAGGTTTTACAATTACTACAACCTTTGTTTATACCACTTTGGGTAATAGGCTATCTATCTTCGATTCACTATTTACGAAATTCAATGTTGTATCGGGTTGAAAGTGAAACTTCAAGGAATCATAACTTCTTTGTTCTAAGTCCGATTTGAGCGTTCCTTATATCTCCGGAATCCTTGTTACTACCACTTCATCTTTCATCAAGGATATTTGTCCTAATTATTATCCAGTTTTAGTTATGTAATTTTTTTCTTATTTTAACATATCGTTTTAAGCACATACGCAACATATACCTGCACATAGAACACATAATACTCAATAATTCTCTTATTTACTTTATATAAAGGTTACAATTGTTGACCATTACAAGTATATCATCTTATTGATGCCCAACGAAAAATATTGGCATTACAGTCCTCTCCCCCTAGGATGATTCCATCCTCGAAATCATGCATCAACAAACAAATGTGGGTAGCGACTCATCATGTCACTTTCCGTCTCTTATGTGAGCTTTGGACCAGACGTATGTTTCCATCGCATAAGCACTAATTCAACCATCTTATGTTGTAACGTCTTCGTCTTACGATCAACAATTTATTAAGGCTCTTCAATCAACCTCTTATTCTCATCAATCCATAACTTCAAGAGTGGAATTATATTCAGAACTTCCCCCGACAACTTCCTCAAATAACACACACGAAGAGTGTTATAAACGTCTTCTAGTTCTTTTGGTAATTCTAGCTTGTAAGCTTGGTTTCTAAGTCTCTGAAGAACTTTAAATGGTCCAATGAATCATGGACTTAGCTTCCCTCGCTTCCCAAATGTAACAAGTCCCTTCCATGGCAAGACTTTAAGCAATACTTGGTCTCCGATTTTAAACGTAATCGGTTGTTACTTTTTATTAGCATAGCTCTTCTAGAGATTTTGATCTGCTAACATCCATTCCTTGATCACTTTCAATTTTTCGGTAGTCTGGTGAACAATCTCAGGACCCATAAACTGCTTCTCTCCAGCATCAAGCCAACAAGACAATGTATGACACTTCTGCTCGTATAGTGCTTGATAAGGTGTCATCTTAATGCTCGAATGGTAACTATTATTGTAGGAAATTATATCTTCCATTTTTTAAATTGTCCTTTCACCCTGACCATCAGTCTATGGATGGTAGTCCATACTCAAACACAACTTGGTACCCATCTCTTCCTGTAAACTCTTCCAAAATCTAGAGGTGAAATGACTGTCACGATCTGATACAATTGTCAATAGAACACCATGAAGTTTCACTATCTATTTCATATAAACATTTTCAAGGTTATCCATTAACCATTTTTCATTAGTTGCTATGAAATTCTCATTCTTTATGAATCAATCTATGATTACCCAATTCAAATTGTGACCACACTTTGTCCTATGTAGTTTGGTCATAAAATACATGGTGATGTCCTCCCATTTACCCATAGGTATAGGTAAAGGGTCTAAACTCCCATAAGGTTTCTAATGTTGCGCATTAACTCTCGTGCAAGTCACACATTCAACCACATACTTCGCAACATCGAGTTTCATCATCGGCCACCAATAATAATGTTTCAAATTTGTATACATCTTGGTGCCACCTGGATGAATTGAGTATATGGTCTTGTAAGCATCTTCCATTAGAAGATCCCTTATTCCTCCCAGCATAGACACCCAAATTCTATTTTGCGATACCTTCAATCATTGATTGTTTGTACCGAACACTAACGTGTTTCCAAAATGTTCCTCCTTTCAATCATTTTCTTTTAAAGCATACTCCTGAGCTTTCTTGATACTTTCCACAATATTTAAGACAATTTAAATTCATAATGATCTTGGAAATTTTCATTTCTAGGTTTATCTTTCTAATCAAAGCATTAGCTACAACATTCGCTTTACCAAGGTCGTAAAGTATCTCGCAGTCATAATCCTTGAGAAACTCTAGCCATCTTCTTTGTAACATCTTTGAGACAATTCCTTCCAACTCATGGCACCACACCTTGTTATGATCTCCCTTATCAAGACCAGGTAGGTCATTTTCTCTCGTTTACATGATGTTGTTTAGCTGCTTCATTTTCTTAAACTCAAGATCTTGAAGCTTCTTTGTTTCTTCTGTTGTGGGTTCGGCATGAATATATTTACATTTCCCTTTTGGTTCAGAAGTCACAAGAAGTTTAACTATTAAAGAACCAGAGCCTCATTCACTAATGTTCAAACCTTTCTTTGATTGGAGCTTTAACATATCAAATTCGCTATTAGGTATAATAGTTGTTGTCGAAGTTGTCATTATAGATTTCATTGGGAGTTAAGCTAGGATTTTTGTAGAATACAGCTTCCCAACTACTTTTCCTTTATCTTCTCCACCAGCATTCAATGCAGCCCCCCCTTATCTCCCCCTTGTGACATGATCATAGATATACGTGGAGCATTTTCGGGTAATCAAAGAATAAGATCCACGATTGGTACAAGTTCATTTTTAAAGCATGATTCCACTAACAAAACCACATAAGAGATTTTTTCTTGAGATATCAAGTTTGTTTACGTAAAAACAAGCTTCAATAAAGAATTATGAACACTCGTAAGAGAGTTCTCAATAATTATATACACCTTGCTATCGGATTCCTTCTTGAGCGTCAACTCTCCAACATATTCCCTATTAAAGGATCGAACATCTTCAATTATGCTTCGAGTGGCTCCTATAAGAAAATTAACATTAGCCTCAATTCATACATAGACCTTGTCAAGCTTCGTTACTTCCATTGAAAACAAATTAATCAATTCTTGAACTTATAAAATAATAGAGTCCTTCAATGAAGTTACCATCTGTACAAACAAGGTATTCATTTCATGAGCAATATTTTGTAATTCCTTGACTTCATGTTTATAATAACTTGAGTGTGTAGCAAGATGAGCAACATTATGTAATTCCTTGCCTTCATGTTTGTAAGAACTTGATTGTGCAACATGACGTTGTTCCAAACTTGTAACAACATTATTGATTAAAGTCTTCATCCTCGACTCTTGAGACTTTAATAAAAACTCTACCTCTTCACCACTCACAGAGGACTTCCCAACATTATCATTGTGAAATGGGAGAATAGGGTTGATTTTAGAGTTAAGGAATTTCCATTCTTGCCTGACATGATCATGTTTTCATCGACATCAACTTCTTCATGATCGAACTCAACCTCAGCAAATTCAACCATTTCATCTTCTTCGATATTCACCGTCTCTTGATTTGCTGACTGATAAAAAAATAGATAAGCTATATGCTCATTTATGGTACCTGCAAATTTAGGAGAAACAACAAAAAGAGTTATTGATATAATAGTCGAAGTTGGTGATGGCGACGAAGGTGGTGGTGGTGGACCAGTTGAAGTATCTGGAGCAGATGTCAAAGTATCATCACCCATATTAATGTTTGAGTCCTTATTAGATAAAGTTCCCAATGATGTTTGAAGACTTATCCTCCACCATAATAGACTTGGAACTAGGACCTTCGGGTGGATTAACATTTATCGTCTCAGGAAGTGATGTTGAAATTGTTGCACCAGAATTGATGTTTGTATCCATATTAGATGCATTTATAGTGACATCAGAATTTCATGTCTCCTTGATATTTGATTCAATAGTGGCATCCTTTCTTGTTAAAACATGAAATATGAGATCATCATTTCCTAGAAATACATCTTCCGTCTCTTCACTATCGTGATTTACTTCAAAAGTATTTGGTTTTGGCAAAGCTATGGTAGAAGGCTCTTCGACTGTTAAAAACCTGAGCTTCTTAAAACATTTCAACACCCCAATAGCCTTTCGTTTCTTTGTTTCCTGAACCAATATCCTTGAAATTAACAACACTAGGCTTAGCCTTCATCTTTAAATTCTTTGATTTCTTGAAAATAGTCTCAGGAACATAAACCTCTTTAACAACCTTCACAAAAACAGTTGTGACTTCCTTCTTAGAATCATTGTGAATTGTCTTCTTAGAAACATTTTTGCTACCTTCTTAGAACCACTTAGCTTTGATTATGACTTCTTTTTAACAAATTCATAACCTTTAGATGATCCCTCTGTCAATTTAAATGTCACCTTCCTTAGAATAGGACCAGAAGAAGTAAGGTTCATAGTTGCTTTGTATTAGATTAGTAACTGGTACGAATCAACCACTACTTATAGCATGGTATTAGGAATCCTTCCAACAAATGGAAATACAACAACATCATCAATAGCTACTTTAGGGATGTTGAGATGCAAGAATTAAGCAACCTCAACATTATTCGGAACTAGAATACCTTCTTGACTATATACTTCTCACAAAATGAGACTCTAAAAATGAGTTCTAGCCATCTTAGAGTCTTCTTAGAGTGTTTGAATGCTGAAGTGAACTCAACCCGCAATAACGAAGCATAATAATTATTCATACTGTAATATAGACCAACCATAATAGAATATAATTGAAGTTTCTCTTGTCCAAATCACAACTCCTTCCAATCAAGTAGCAAAGAGTAAGTCCAAAGAAAAAACTCCATATGCTTGGAAGAATGGACTTCTTAAAGGCACTAATAAGAGAAATCGGAGATTGATAGCCCATTTCATTAAACATTTAAATTACTTGTTCATACATAGGAACTTCAAAAGAACCATTAGAAGGCAAGTGTAGAATATGGGAAAACATCTCCTTGTTCAATCTTTTGTTGCCTTTCGATTCCATATGAAATCTTACAATTTCAGTCGTCTTGTTGTAGATAGTCGTAGAACCAACGAGTGATAACCACTTATCAGAATGGAAAAAGAAACCATTAAAGTGTAACACCCCCCTCTGGCACGTATCACAATATTGTCTGCTTTGGGCCACTCGGCACGAGGACTTCCCAGGGGGTCACCCATCCTGGTACTACTCCCGCCCGAGCACGCTTAACTGCAGAGTTCTTATGGGATCTGCTGCCCTCACGGCTTTAAAACGCATTGTGATAGGAAAGGTATCCACACCCCTTATAAAGAATGCTTAGTTCTCCTTCCCAGCCGATGTGGGATCAGATCTAACCCACTTTCACCCCCCATTATAGGGTTCGACGTCCCTGTCGAACACATCGACCCGTGCCCTAGCTCTGATACCATTTGTAACATCCCCTTCTGGCACGTATCACAATATTGTCCGCTTTGGGCCACTCGGCACGAGGACTTCCCAGGAGGTGAAAGTGGGTTAGATCTGATCCCACATCAGCTAGGAAGGAGAACTAAGCATTCCTTATAAGGGGTGTGGATACCTTCCCTATCACAACACGTTTTAAAGCCGTGAGGGCAGCAGATCCCATAAGAACTCTGCAGTTATGCGTGCTCGGGCGGGAGTAGTACCAGGATGGGTGACCCCCTGGGAAGTCCTCGTGCCGAGTGGCCCAAAGCGGACAATATTGTGATACGTGCCAGAGGGGGGTGTTACAAATGGTATCAGAGCCAGGGAACGGTTCGATGTGTTCGACAGGGATGTCGAACCCCTATAATGGGGGGTGAAAGTGGGTTAGATCTGATCCCACATCGGCTGGGAAGGAGAACTAAGCATTCCTTATAAGGGGTGTGGATACCTTCCCTATCACAACGCGTTTTAAAGTCGTGAGGGTAGCAGGTCCCATAAGAACTCTGCAGTTAAGCGTGCTCGGGCGGGAGTAGTACCAGGATGGGTGACCCCCTGGGAAGTCCTCGTGCCGAGTGGCCCAAAGCGGACAATATTGTGATACGTGCCAGAGGGGGGGTGTTACAAATGGTATCAGAGCCAGGGCACGGGTCGATGTGTTCGACAGGGACGTCGAACCCTATAACGTGGGGTGAAAGTGGGATAGATCTGATCCCACAACGGCTGGGAATGAGAACTAAGCATTCCTTATAAGGGGTGTGGATACCTTCCCTATCACAACGCGTTTTAAAGCCGTGAGGGCAACAGATCCCATAAGAACTTTGAATTGATTAACGGATTAAACCAGACATTGTTGGATTAAATCTTCATGTTAGGAACAGAGGCTTCGTCTTAACTTGTGTTGAAGTGATCGACAATGGTATTGGAAGTTGACATGATGATCGATGAGAGAATTTTGACGATGATCAGAAATTTAGGTTAGGGTTCTTGTGTAAATATTAGGAATCATAAAGATTGAATTATATCACCAAGTCGTCTTTTTATAACCGACATAAAATTCAAAACTAAACCATGGTCCAATGAAAAACTGCCATGTGTAAAGTAAAGAACTGCAGGGACAACATCCCAATCTGCCACGTGTACATGTAATGATCGCTTTTCTCGATCCACAATAAAGCAACAATAATGTCTCATCCTAATGGTTACTTTCTCATCATCAATAGAATCAAACAATCACCAAGCTTCGATAATTACCAAGAACCAATCTTTGTTAGTTAAGATTGGGCCTCATTGACTTATGGGAATTTTAAATGAAGTCATTAACCAGACTTTGTGAAATCTTGGCATGAGTTGGTAATTCTCAAAACCTCAAGGATTTCAGTGCCAATGTGTTCCAAAAAACAGATAGAAGCAAAATATAAATTTTTTGGATAAATGGTGATACCTAAGACACTATGATATAAAGGAAGTAAGATCCCAGGAAAATATTCTCTTCTTTCGATATAAAGAGAGAAATTAAAGTGCTTGTGTGGTTTCCCATAAATTACAATCGAATACTTATAGATAATTATCAAAGGGCCTCTTTTCACAAGTATCGTAGGTAGGCTTAATTTTCAAAAAAGTTCGCACAAAAGAGCGAAATATTGTAAGAAAATACTTGAGTGATCAACATAATCAACATCAAGTAAGCTTTGGAAAAAATTTAATTGACAAAGGTTCAAAATAAATGTTCATGGAAATCTCATTTTATTAAAAAAAAAAAATGAAGAATTTGATCTGTTGGGAATAGATGAATTGGGTTAAGTACATTTGATTAAGATCCGCATAAGAAATGAAAATGAGATTTTGAACATTTGAAAAGGTACATTGAAACATAAGGTTTCATTCATCAATTCCCTATATAAGTTCTTGAACAATAAATTGTTCATCGTCAAGTCCTTGAGGTAAAATGTTTGTTGGGTCTCACCTTCATCATGGAAAATGATTTAGGATCATAAACACAAAATTTTGGTATACCCACATCATAAATGGTTTTTTACTAGAGATATCTTGGGATATGTGTCTTTTTTGTGTGCAAGTGAAAAAATTTTTTGGGTAAAAAAGATTGGTTAAAATCTTAAAGAATTTCATTGTCCCTCTCTAAAAAAAAAATTATGATCATGTAGTCATCTCTTAACCTAAATTGAGAAGAAAAAGATAGCTCGAAGGCTATTGTGCATATAACCTATTGGAAAGAAATTTTCATAAGCAAATTTTAGTAAGGCTTCATAAACAATGAGTCAGAAAGACTTTGGACAACATGCTACAACATGCTTATAAGAATACTTAACTAGTTTATGAGTGTCAAAAATTTCAGTAAGTCTTTATAACCAACGAGTCCGAAAAGAGATGAGATTTTTGATAATTTGGTTGATTATTCTTTTATCTTCAAAAATTCAACAGTTTTGCTAGATGAGTTTACAGATTGTCAAACCTTTTTCTAACTATTTTTAAGTAATTTCTTAGCTAATGCTAGTTTTTTTTTTAATCTGTTTATTCATATGTTCTAAAAAAAACATCAATAGAATCAAACGGATCATGCATTGTAATGTTATGACTCGGAGATCTATAAATATTGTTTTTAAAATAATTAGTTTTGTCATCCAAAAAGATGTTGCGACACAATTTGTTGTTCGTTTACCTGCTACATCTATATAAATATTTCTTATGAAACTTAAAATCATTTTCTTTAATCAAATCTACTAATATGATTAACAATGATATTTTATGAAAAAATTTCTAAAATTGTTGGTATAATATATATAACAAAAAATTGTAATATAAAGTACAAATCAAAAAGTTTGTTATACTCAAGTTATTTTCTTTTAAGTAATTTCATTTGTCTTTAAGTAAGTTTGTTAAGACAATATATTCTATAATATGTTAAAATCCTATGCTTCAAATCATTTTGGTAAATCAGCTCTGTACGATAACCAGCTTCTAAATTCTCTCCTTCGTCCACGAAAACGAAAGGAAAGCCGTATTAGGTTATTAATAACGGCGGCTTATCATAACGTTGGGGAAATAAGGAAAGTCACGTGCTAGAGGCTAGAGCACGTGAGGAGATTCACAACGGAAGCGAGGCGCGTGCCGGCGTGCTTGTTGTAGTTAAAAAGTGTAAGAGATAAAAAGACAAAAGTGGGACCCACGATGGCAGCTGTTGCTTCTGACACTGTGCCTCTTAAAAGTGAAACATTTCCACTATCGTACTAGTGACGTAAAATTCTTTCTAATTTTTAAAATTACAAGTCATGCATGTGTCCATCAACTTAACTTTTTTTTGTTTTTTTTTGAACTCTATAACATATTATCTCTATATAAATGAGTCCTACAGTTTATAATAAAGTGTTAAAGTTAATTGAAAACTTAAAGTGATTTACACGATCTGCAACATAATTTTTATAATAACTAATAGTAACATTAATAAGTAAAGAGTGGAAACTAAAAACTCAAATAA